TCATTCCACATTCACCCTTAGAGACCTTTAGTAGTCTCTAAAACCTTGCTAATCCTCTCAGACCAGAGGCTGAGCCTTTTTCTCTGAGTGTAGATTCACACACTAAAAAACAATGGCTTCTGTGTTCGTCAGTCCACAGGAGCAAAAACACAAAAATCTAGGACCCAAAGGTTAGCTGTAACTACTACATGCTGTCTCTAAAGATGTCATTATCTGTCTGTCCTTGTTTATCCATTTGTCTCCGTGACAACGATTATGTTTACAAATTAGTACAATCAATGTTGAACAGTAGATTATTGGTGACAAACCAGGGCCAGGTAATGGAAAATTTCATACACATATTTATTTGGAATCTGGGTGCTTTTCCACAGAAAGCAGCAAGATGTCAAAATCTAATACTGATGTGGGGACCTGCTAAGACTATGAAAAAATGAAAACATAAGAGAGTCCTAATTATTTTGAAGGCCCATGTGGGGACACAAAACAAAGCCATGTTAAATGCCCTCATTGTTTTGCTTTGTTTTAGGCAACAAGGACCAACTAATGTGGTCCAAGAACCACACTGCCCACCTGCAACTATCTCATAAAGTTGTGCAAAAGTCCCTTCTGATGAACAAACTCTACATGCTTCCAGCTATTCTAAGGGAAAGGAAAAGGTGTGACCTAAGGTTGTTATCTTTAGCATACAGATAATTTATTTAGCAACATTTCAGGAGTAAAACCTTCACTTATTATAGTGGGGCCAGATAAACATTCAAGAAGTGCAGTAGTTTTCTGAATGTTACGTAAATAACATGATACCCTTCAGTTTCTTGTATCTAAAATTATACAATACATGGTTTTAGCTTATGAACACTCAAATTTAGCCTGAAATTGTATGTGGATGAATATTCCACAGGCTGAGGGGACAGGCAGTCCCAGCTGGTCTCTCCGTTTATCTGCTGGCCAGCCCTGACTCTAGACTCACTTTTCCCTTAACTATCTACCACATTGCCACAGAGATGATGTGAAATTTCATTATATCTGTCCCTACTCAAAAACTTTAAGGATCCCCTTAGTTACAGAACCAAGTCCTTTTTTCTCAGTTAATATAGCACATAGACCCCTCATGGCTTGGTCTCTGTCCTTCACCTCCCACACCATTTCTTGCTGGTACAGGCCAGAAGCATTATCCTGTGATCAGAAGATGGACCTTTCCCTGGAATGCCTTTTCCCCATCATGTTTGTGTGGTAAATACCTTTTCATCCTTAACAACCCAGCTGAGGTCTTACCTCATCAGGATTTGATCCCCCAAAAAGATCTGTCCCTCTCTGGGCTATCTTTATAACTTGTATATACTTCTATTTGTGGATTATGTTATAATAATGTGGCTATATGTCTGCAACCTCAGCATGAGCTCTTTGAGGACAGAGTTTCTGTCTGAATTCTCAGCGTTCTGTTTCACCATCCACTCAATGAATGAACGTTGAAACTGATTGGATTGAAAGTGTCTTAAAAATCCCCAGGTGCTTCTGTCCCCTGGGATGTGATGTAGGACTCGGGCTGCTTTTGTCAGGTTCCCAGCAAGGGTAGTTTAAAAATTAAGGTTTTGGCATAAAATTGTCTCTCCATAGAAAGCATCCTAATTTCAAAGTGTACTAGGTTTTACAATTATTTGCCTTTCTTAATCCAGTGTTTGTGGTGTAAGAAATAAGGAAATAAGGATGGTTTGTTTCTCCTATGAAAATGATAGGATTTTGAATGTATACATATGCAGGTAAAACAAATCCTCTTATAATTCTTTCCTGAATGATGGGGAAGACAACCAATCTCCCAAATTGTATTGCTTTATAGAAAAACCTAAATGATCTATGGTCATAGCAGGGGACTTAAGAAGAGAACTCAGATTATCTGATGGGTTAAATTATTGCTCCGCCTACAACTAGTAAATGGTGATAGCTACTAAGCTGCCTTGGGTTTTCCAGGGGTTCCATTCTTCGAGAGACAAAGAAGAGGCCAAGCTGGAGACACAAGCTGAAATAAGCACTAGGTTGTTGACCACCCTATTCCCAAATTTGGTGTTCAAGATCATCATTTGAGTCGCACAATAGCAATTACACTGGTAGACTTCCTCGGCTGAATGAAATGCCACTTATCTCTGTTCCATTTTGCAATCTCTATGCCTCCATCTTTATACTTACCATGTTATATTAAAATCATTCATTCATTCAAAAAAGCAGTCACTGAGCACATATGATGAGCCAAACATAAAGTTAGCCCCTGACAATATGACAATGAACAAAGACCCTGACCTCAGGAGTGCACATTCTAGCAAGGAGGACACACGTTAAACAAGTACCATCTTCAGAAGTAGTTGTTTAATTAGATTTGTGACTAGTGCCTTGAAGGAAAAGTACAGTTGGCAATGAGTCTATGTAGATGAGGATCTTAACTAGGATAAGAGGTCAGGGAAGGCTTCTTGGAGGGTAGGAGCTGAAGACTGAGTCAATGTTATTGCAGGAGAGAGAGGAGTAAGCCTAGAGTGTTTGGGACAGAAGGCTCTGAGTTGGGGTTGGGGAGGTACATTTGAGGACTTAGAACAAGACCAGTGCGACTATAACAATGTATGTAAGAAGGAGAATGGAGCAGGATGGGCTAGAGAGGAAATCAGAGGCTGAGTTGTGAACTGATACACTTTGTAAGTCAAAAAATACTAGAAGGGAGGGAAATCCTTAATATACTGAAGGATATTAAAGTAGAAATATGTCATAATCAGAGGTGCATTTTTGTAAGCTCACTTCCATAGCTTTGAGGAAAATAGTTTTTGTGGGCAAAGCCCAGTCCAGAAGGCCATGTGAGTAATAATGGTGGTGACAAAATATTCCGAGAGTAGAATTAACAAGACTTGGTAATTCGTTGCACATAAGAAGTGGTAATGAGAAGGAGTCAAGGGTATATCCAAGGTATGTCATTTGAGCAATTAGATAGGTGTTGGAAGTATCTACTGGAGAAAAAGGTTTGGGGAAAAAACAGAAGCGTGAGTTCACTTTTAATGCATTCAAGTAGAGGTGTTTGAAGGTTTCTAGATGAAGATGTCATGTGAATATTTCAGAGGAGAAGTTAGCTAGAGATAGAATTTGAAAGTTGTTGGAGTATAGGTAGCAATTGAAGCCATGAGAGTGGATGGGATTGACTTGGTGACTGAATGAGAGAGGTAGAAGAGAAACTAGGAGCATGTGACATCATGGGAATCAAAGGGAAAAAGTATTTCAATAGAAGGAATGGTCGACTTTGTAGAATGATTCTGAAAGGTGGCATGATATGAGGACTACAAGAGTACATCTGATTAAGTAGTATGAAAATAATTGGTGACTTTAGCAAGAGTTGATTCCATGGAGTTGTTGAAACAGAAGTTGAATTTGAGGGTTTATGGAGGGAATAGTGACTAAAGACAGAAAGAGAAACTATGGGCAACCCAGCCCAGAAATTTGAGAACAGTGGGAGAGACTGGTAGTAGCCAGAGAAGCATGTGGTTTGCAAAGGGTCCTTTGTGGGGACAGAGGGAGATGTTTGGCTGGTTTGTTGAGTTATTTGTAGTAATGAGATAAATTGGAGCATGCATAAGTGCTAATGGGATGTAGAGAGGAAGAAATAGAAATAATATCAGAAAGAAAGGAAATAATTAATATTCTTGAGAAAAACCTGAGGAGCTAGAGTGCAGACCACATGCAAAATCGTTGGCCTTTGTTAGAAGAGAGAAGGCTTTTGACCGTATGAAGTCTCCATCTAATAGTTTCCATTTTTCCAGTGAAATGGAAAAATGCTGAGAAAAAGAGAGTTGGAGGCTTGAGAGGAATAGAATGGGTTTAAGAGAGATTTTGTAGAAATTAGACCGGCCAGTTTTGAGAGTCTAGTTGAGGTCGCTGACCATTAATTTGCAGAAATACAAATCTGCTTCACTCTGTTATTCTTCAGTTTTTCTTAGCAGCCTGAGTGTAGACATAGAGGAGATGGATAGGTTCATCCCAGGTGGAATTCGCCAGACAATTTGCAAGAGAAAAATTGAAGTGATGGATCCTAGAATCTATCAGTAATGTGAAGAAAATAGAAGGTAGAAAAAGGTGATAGATGAATGGATAGGTAAATGAATGGGAGGTGAAAGGGCAAGTCAACTAGAAGCACCTAGTGAAAGAAGACTTGTAATGGGATATGTATAACAAATGAAAAGAAAGGAAAATGGTGAATGAGATGCTAGATGTTTGCACTGTTTGGTTGATGGAGTCGTTTCAGGTATTGACAATGGTCACACAATGACAATAGATGGATGAGCAGAGTGGATAATTCACTGGAGTGGTGAATAGTTCATTCAAGTAAAGAGTAAAGTCACCTAAGTGGAGAGGGAGTGGGCAGCCCAGTGAAAAACCATCAGCAAAGGAGGAGGTGCGACTTGGAGGCCCAGTGAAGTCTGGCAGGAATGCAGCACAAGCTTCAAAATGCAGAGATTTAACTAGAGGGTGAAGGCATAGTAGCCTAAAAGTGGCAATGGGGAGGACACTGACCCCACTCTCAAACCTGGAGCTACCTGGAGTGTAAAGTGGCCTTCATTTGAAAGGCTAACACATAAAGCCTTGTTCTCAGAGAACAGGCTAGATTCAGTTAACACAAAAAGATGGAAGGGCTCTCCTGCAGAGAGTTTGGGAATATAAAGGGAGGAAGTCTGTTTATCAGAGAATGGCTGTTCCACTGTGCATGATATGTGGGTTTGTCAAGTACAGACACACGGTGGCTTGGGTCATAGACCCTCTGGGGTAGATAAATTTTTTTTTATATATTTCTGCTCCCAGAACCTAGAATAGGGTGAGCCACCTGGACATACTAAGGAAGTGTTTAACTCTTACCGAAAATTTGATTGCTCATTCTTTTGCTGATTCTGCATTCTACTGTGACATTCTGAATACTAGTCATCATTACACAAAAATTCAGATGCAGATCCAAAAGGCTATAAGCAATTCATTTGTACCTGTATTTTCATCCGTACACATCTGCTGATTGGATCTCTGTTATGAGCTTGTCTTGGTATCATTTGCTTCTTTTATTTTTTCCTAAAAGTGAAGCAGTAGAATATGCTCTGGTTAATACAGTGTTTTGGTTACTCAGGTTGCAGTTAATTCAAGTGTGTTATATATGGAACTTCACTCTCACAATCCTAGGGAGCATTATGACATTTGATCTACATGCCATCTGACAGCTGAGGGATGGAGGAAAGATATAGTCACAAAATCACATGTAAACTTTTAATAACCACCTTAACATTATACAGAAAAAAAAATGCTATATGTCCAGTTAATTCACTGTCATTATATAAAAAATCTGTAGTTCTTTCTTCATTTCTCCTAGTAAAGTTGAGCTTTGCAAGCCTAATTTTTGCTTATAAACTTAAATGAAATTCCAGAGTCTGGGTCTAAAAACACAAATCTTCACAATCAAATAAATCATCCCAAGAAAGGAGCTTAAGGAATATCCTCCTCCTTTTCTACGGCTCTCAAAGAAGAGATGTGTTCAAAGAAGAGATGTGTTCTTTGTGCTGTAAATTACAGGAAAAAATCCAGTTTGATAAAGCATTAAATTGAGAACTTCCAGAGGATATTAATATTGTTTTCCTATGAAATATGGAAGTTTACATGACTATTCATAACCCTTGGTCCCATTCCTTATTAATATATATCAGATCTTGGAAGGGCTATTTGGGGAAAGAAAAAAAAAGATCTTATAAGATTATAAAGATTCTAGACAAAAAAATTGCCTCCAAAAGAACCCTGTAATTCTGATTGGTTCTCTTAGTTGATCATTTCTATTCTAGTAATAAGGATGTAATTGAAAACTTTGTGTAATGAACTATAGAAATCCTTGTAAGAGTTTTAAGTGAAATCAGATAAGGATCACTAGCATGTTTCTTTTCTCCCCTCTGCTTGACAGGATAATTGAAATCCTATGAGTCTACAAGCTTCTTATTTAGAAAAATGATCAGGGCCGTGCACGGTGGCTCACGCCTGTAATTCCAGCACTTTGGGAGGCCGAGGCAGGTGGATCACGAGGTCAGGAGTTCGAGACCAGTTGGCTAAGATGCTGAAACCTTGTCTCTACTAAAAATACAAAAATTAGTCAGGCGCAGTGGCAGGTGCCTGTAATCCCAGCTACTTGGGAGGCTGAGGCAGGAGAATCGCTTGAACCCTGGAGGTGGAGGTTGCAGTGAGCCGAGATTACACCACTGCACTTTAGCCTGGGTGACATAGCAAGACTCCATCACAAAAGAAAGAAAGAAAAGAAAGAAAGAAAGAAAGAAAGAAAGAAAGAAAGAAGAAAGAAAGAAACGAGGAGAAGAAAGAAGAAAGAAAGAAAGGAAAGAAAGAAAGAAAGAAAGAAAGAGAAAGAAAGAAAGAAAGAAAGAAAGAGAGAAAGAAAGAGAGAAAGAAAGAGAGAAAAAGAAAAATGATCAGTTGTGATATAGTAGCAAGTATTGAATTTAAACTCCTGCTGAAACAATAAAGCTGAAAAAAATACACAGAAGAATTATTCTCAGGCACTGAATGGCAATCATTGCAGGGCTATGATCCTTGAGAGAAAGGAAGCAAAACTCTACATTCATCCTGGATTTTTCTGTGAAGATATATTTCAATCTGCTGTACAGGAAAAAACATTCCTGGGAGAGATGGGAAGAAACAGGGGTAGGAGTTATGGGATGCTAAGGCCACGGGAATCTGGAAGGGTGGAGGGGAGAACAACAGACAATAGGGAACCACTGGGAAAATATCCAGTCATGTGTTGCTTAATGACAGGGATAAATCCTGAAAACTGAATCATTAGGCAATTTTGTCATAGCACAAACATCATAGATGGTTTAGCCTGCTACACACTTAGACTACATGGTATAGCCTATTGCTCCCAGGCTACACACCTGTACAGCATGTAACTGTACTGAATACTGTAGGCAACTGTAATGCAACAGTAATTTAACGATTTGCATATTGAAACATATCTAAAATAGAAAATGTACAGTAAAATGCAGTATAAAGGATTTAAAATGGTACAGCTATATAGGGCACTTACCATGAACGGAGCTTGCAAGCCCAGAAGTTGCTCTGGTTGAATCAGTAAATGAGTGGTGAGTAAATGTGAAGGCCTAGGACATTACAGTATACACTATAGACTTTATAAATGCTGTACACTTAAGCTACACTAGAATTATTTTTTTAATTTTTTCTTCTTCAAAAATAAATGTTAGCTTACTGTAACTTTTTACTTTATAAACTTGAATTTTCTTAACTTTTGACTCTTTTGTAATAACACTTGGCTTAAAACACATCATGTAGCTATCATGTAGCTAAAGAAAATTATTTTCTCTTTATATTCTTATTCTATAAGCTTTTTTCTATTTTTAAAATTTTTAATTTATTTTTTACTTTTTAAACTTCTTTCTTAAAAACTAAGATGCAAACACACATATTAGCCTAGGCCTACACAGGGCCAAGACTGTCAATATCACTGTCTTCTACCTCCACCTGACATCCCACTGGAAGTTCTTCAGGGACAATAACACACATGGAGCTGTCATCTCCTATGACAACAATGTCTTCTTCTGGAACACTTCCTGAAGAACCTGCCTGAGGCTGTTTTACAGCTACCTTTTTTTAATACAAGTAGAAGGAGCACACTCTAAAATAACAATAAAAAGTATATTATAATAAATATATAAACAAGTAACATAGTCATTTATCATCATTACCAAGTATTATGTACTGTACATAATTGTATGTGCTATACTTTTATACAATTGGCAGCACAGTAGATTTGTTTACATCAGCATTACCACAAACAGATGAGTAATGTGTTATGATGTTATGACAGCCATGGCATCACTAGATGATACAAATTTTTCAGCTCTACTATCATCTTATGGGACCACCACTGTCATTGACCAAAACACTTTATGCAGTGCATGACTGTATATAATTTCTCTCAGATCCTTGGCCAAATCCAAAGTTGCACAATTGCAGGGTGAAACTGTGGGAAGCCCCTTAAAAATTCTTGCTAAGAGGCTGATAACCAAGCAGAAATACCTGAATTCACATATTAATGAGGAGACATTGTGAGACCTTGGTGAACATTCCAATCTTTTGAGACCCCAGAAAGCTCTCACCCTAGAATAGGGACAACTCATAGAAGTAAATGCAAAAATAAAATAGATCTGACCTAGCAAGGCCTAAAACCAAGAATTGACAGGATCAGAGTGGCTCTCTGGTAATTTAAGGTAATCCAGAACCTCTACAATCTATTATCCACAATGTCCAGCATACAATAAGAATTACCAGACATTTAAAGAAACAGGAAAAGGATACCAATTTTTTTTTTAATGGTCAATGGAAACAGACCCAGAGATGATCATTATTGATATGTTAAAGAAAGTAGAGAAAAGATAAACATAATGTATGACAAAATGAGTCTTTTCCATAAAAAATAAGAATTTTTTTTTTTAAATCAAACAAAATAAATCAATCACCATGTGGGGAAGCAGAAGGAATCCAAGATGGAATGCAGGCTGTGACTAATGAAACTGACTACAATAAATAAATCAAATGAAATGAATCACATAACCACACTGAAGGGAAGGGGGAAAAAAAGGATATGGCTGAAGTAACTTTGAAAAATAGTTTAGATAATCCTACAATAGTAGAATTAAGCAAATAAATACATTATAGATAATGAGAATCCAGTTTCTTACTATCCAAAGAATGAGGTTACAAAAAAGGAAAGGAAGAAGGCTAGAATGAAACTTGTGCTGCTAGATTGGAGTCAGAAATACAGAAATAAATATAGGTGTGTGCATATGTAAGTTAGTGTACACACACAGATTTCCTAGCTCTGTCTGCTGAGAAGCTTTAGAAGAAGTAGCACCCCAATAGCAAGGAATATACCAGATATTGTTTGGCTGTGTATCCCCACCAAATCTCATGTTAAAATGCAATCCCCCGAGTTGGAAGTGGACCCTGGTGGGAGGCGATTAGATCATGGTTTCTCATGAATGGTTTAGCAGCGTCCCCCTTGGTACTGTCCTCACGATAGTGAGTTCTCATGATAACTGGTTGCTTAAAAGTATGCAGCACCTCCTCCCTCTCTCTCTTTCTTTCTCTCTCTCCTGCTCTCACCATCTGAGATGTCTCACTTCCCCTTTGCCTTCTGTGATGATTGGAAGCTTCCTGAGGCCTCCTCAGAAACAGAAGCTGCTATGCTTCCTGTACAGCCTGCAGAACCATGAGCCAACTAAGCTTCTTTTTTTATATAAATTACCTAGTGTCAGATATTTCTTTATAGCAATGCAAGAATGAACTGATACAACAAGTAATACCAAAATTTTGTTTTTTAAACTACCATCAGTGTACTAGGCTAGACTGGTAAAGTGTCCAGTAAAAGGAATCATGGCTTATTGAAGAGGTGATTGATTTGAGACTGAGAGAAAATACAAGTTTATCCTGGAACAAATTGTGATGTCTGAAAATGCTCAGAGAGGTTGGCAACATGTGAAAAAGGCACAGGAGCTAACCTAAAAGAGCTCCTACCAAAGTTATTTGAGCAAGAAGGTAAATAAGAATAGTATTGGATTATAAACCAAGGAATAAAATAAATATTGTTGGGCCTATACTGATATAAATAAATAACTGAATAAATAAATAAATGGAGTAGAAGAGATAATCTTCCTTAAAGAATCATTCCAATTAATACATGTAGAAGCAATGAGGGAAATAGAAAATCACTATTAGAATACCACAATAATAATTTCTGCAAGCATCATTGACTAATGGATGCTAAAATTAGTAGATGAAAGTGTAAGGAGAAACACAATATTTGTATCATCTCCAAATATCCCCCCAAGAAATATTAACTAACTGAAAAGAAAAGAACAATCACTTTAAAATGGAGAAATCTGGGAAGTATCATCTCAGCCAAATGATCAAGGTTAACATCACCAGTAATAAGACAGATCATCCTCATTTATTCTCTGATATGAGAAGCACATATCATCTCTGTGTAATTCTTTTCAATAATA